CACACACACACACTATGTTGTGCTAACTACTGCGCCAGCTGGACACCCTGAGCATTCAACAGTTTATCTGCTACCATCAAACACTCCTTTAGTTCAAGTCATGAGTCCTCATGAAGTAGTAACACAAAAAGATCCAGTGGTGATCCCCAAAACAACTGACCCCTGTGCTGTCCCAAAACGTGCATGAAAAGTACCAATTCTGTACTTTTTTGTAATTCTGAACAAAGTTTGCAAAGAGGCTCTGAGTCAACTCTTTCATGATAGTTCAAGTAGGGAGCTGTCAGCATGTGTGGGCTGCAAATAAACAGGTAAAAGTTTTATTCCATGCTGAGAAAAGAAGAAAGGAAACAACATTGTGTTTCCTTTCTTCTCTTTTCAGCATGGAATAAACCTTTACCTGTTCCTTTGCAACTCTTTCATATCTCTTGCATGGTGTCCAAAAGGATCTACTGTATACAAAACTTTAAAGTGGGTTAGTTGATGGTTAAAAGTTTAAGATGCATTTAGTAGATTGTCCCAAACTGCATTCCAATCAATTAGCCTTTCTGCTAAATTAAGGTCTTTTCCCAAAATTTTGTTCACAATTTCAAAGCTATGGAGCTTTAAGCAGGTGTGTATATGTAATTGAGGGTCCTTCTGTTATTTAAAAGTTTAGCATTTTTAAAATGTATGAATTGATTTATTTATTTATTTTTCACCCACCCAGTCTATAATTACCAGATATTTCTTTATCTTGGTGCACCACTACAAACCCTGTATCTATACCACACTGGGAGGGTGAGGGCAGCAGGCTTGCTTGTCAGATGGCCCCACCTGCGTGAACCACACGCAGCGGCGTTACTGTGAAACTTACAGGCGCCGGGCTGGGTGTAGGAGCTGTGGCACAGGAAATACAGACGCTCCAGGCCTGGCTTTGCTCAACCAGCTGTAAGGCACCGTGGGTGGACACCAGTCATAGTCAGCTAAAGACACAGCCAAGGTGCTGTCTCTACCAGTGAGTGGAGGGCTCAGACAAGATGGGAATCTCCCACATCACCCTGCTGCTTTTGATGGGAATCAAATGGAAATGGGAATGACCCGCTGTCCTCTCTTACTCTTACTGAAGGAAGGCATTCGGTCGGGAGACGGTCACCCCATAAAAATTCATTACTTTCCAAATATTGTAGGACATAGCACACTTTTATTATTTATATGAAACTGCGCCTAGCAGAAATCGGCCTCAAGAAAAACATCCAAAAGGGAACATCCTGCAC